TGTTGCAAATTAAAATAAAAAAAAAAGAAAAAAGAAAAAAAAGGCGGATAAGACTTTTGCAAAAAAAAAACAAGCGAGCCAATTTTTTTTTTTTTCTTTTTTTTTTTTGTTCAAGAGGAGGAAAAAAGAATATATGCGCGCTATTGCGGATAGCATCATCCATCCAATGCCATGGCACATTGTAAAATTCATAGACATTGTTACGTCATTTTGTTTATGAACATCTCTCTCTATTTATCGAATGAATTTTACAAACAGGCCACGCAAACATTTTTTTTTTGTTGATCATCATCATCATTATAAACTTGAATTTAATCGAAATTTTTTAAAGTTTTTTTTTTCAAAATTTAAATCATCAATTAATCATCATGGTAAACATAAAAATTAAAAAATTACCTGCCATTTGCGCATTCGATACATTTTCCGTCATATAGTTTCATTTTTTTTTCTTCTGCAAATTTCGATCGATTTTAAAATCGATCGATAATTCCTATTAAGTGTTTTCTTAATTTCTTTTTTTTACTTTGTCATTTGCAATTTCTCATATTCTCATTTCCTTTTTTGAATTGCTCGCTATAGAAAATTTGTTGTTTTCGAATTTTTATTCGAAAATAAAATTCGCTAATTAGAATAGTTTGTATTTTTCTTTTTTTGCTGAATCGAATTTTGTTTTATTTTTGCTCATTTATTTCGTTTTCTGATTAATTTTAATTTGATTTTCGTTTACTTTAATCCGTTTAATTAGCCATCACCAAGTTCAACATCAGTTGGTGCAAGTGGACGATCACCAAGAGCAATGGGAGGTGGACGAGCAACCGGAGGTGGTAATAGTGGTGGTGGTACCGTTAGACAACGTCGTACTGGAACATCATCTGCTGCAGCAAGTGGACGATCAAGACCAGCACAAACAACCGGAATGTGGCATTTTTATACAGATGATTCACCCGGTATCAAAGTGTATGTTTTTTGATGTATCAAACAGATCCATCATCCCTTAAATTCATGCTTTTAATCCTTTCAATAGTGGTCCAGTTCCAGTTTTGGTAATGAGTTTAGCATTCATTGCAAGTGTATTTATGCTTCATATTTGGGGAAAATATACTCGTTCGGTTTAAAAAATCGATAAACAACAAACAAACAAACAGCAGATTTTATCACCAGGACCAAAATTTATTCAATTTTCTTTTCTTTTTTTTGTGCTTATGTAGTCATCATTCTGATGCTAAAATATCATTTTTATATGAACAACAACAACAACTGAATGTTTAATGAAATAAAATTTATGTACAAAAAAAATGAATATTTTTCTCCTTTGTTGATGTTTTTTTCAAATGAAAATCAGTCTGTTTTGGTGAATTTTTCATTTTTTGTTGAAGAATTTATCTAGACACCACCACCACTTCTTTCAACCGAAATTCTTGATTCAAGATTCAATGCTTTTGCAAAACGATTATGTACGACAACACCATTCTTGATGCAGCTCATCAATTCCAGATATTCACCAAATTCAATTCGACCATTTTGATTTAAATCAACTTCGGATAATATTAAATGTAGATCATCATCAGTAACTTTAACACCTTGATCCTATTTGTGGAATAAAACGAATCAAATCAAATTTTTTTTTTAAAACAAAAAGTAAACTTACTTTTAATGATCTTCTTAGATCATTAATACCAATATAACCTTTACGATCACGATCCAAAACATGAAATTGTTTACTCATTTGATTAATTTCATCTTTTGACATTGATATTGGTAATTGTGATCGTATCATTTGATTAACACTACGACCCATTTCACTATTTAGAAATTCTTTTGCATTATTCAATTCTTCTTCTTGTTGTTTTTTATTCCATTTAAGTTCTTCACTCATAATTTCAACAATACGTGGTAAAACTTCTTCAGTTGCTTGTACATTTAAAAATGCTAAACGTGTACGTCTTGCTATAACATCAATAGCTGTACATGCATATTCTCTTATTGCATAACGAACTTCAGCTTCAAGATATGGAAATTCAGTATGTAAACGTCGGCCAACAACTGGCCATCTTTTACCAGTAAGTTCTGCTAAACGTGCTACCGATTTAGCTTTATCACCATATGTATTAGCTAAATGCATAGCAACATCTTCTTCCAGTCCATAATCTTGTACTAAATTTATATGTGTAGTTGGTGTCCATCCTTGTCCACCTTCTAATTTCAAACCAAGTGTCATACATTTACCTGCATGATTAAGCGTTTCAGGATTATCTTTTATAGCAGCATCAACTGCTTCTTCAGCCATAACACGATATGTTGTCCATTTTCCACCTGCCACCGTTACTAGACCAGTATTTTTACAAACATCAATAATATGATTACGTGCAATTGATTCAGTATTTGGTTTAGATGGATCTAATACCAATGGACGTATACCAGCCCATGCTGACATAACATCACCACGTCTAACATCGATTGTACCCGAAAGATAATGACGAATTTCATTCAATATAAATTGTATATCCTGTTCAGTTGGTGATGGATGATGTGTTACATCACAAGAACGATCAGTTGTACCGGCAATTGTCCATTTTTCCCATGGTAAAAAGAAAATAACACGACCATCACTAGTTGCTGGATCTAATAAACCCATACTTGATGGACTATAATAACCAGGTAATACAATATGTACACCGATACTTGGTTGACAGATTTTTCTTTGCGTTGCATCACTCATCTGACGTATTGAATCAGTAAATGGACCAGTTGCATTAATAATAACTTTTGCATTAACATTCCATTCTTCTTTCGTTAATTGATCTTTTAATCGAGCACCAATTAAACGTCCAGTTTCCGGATCTTTCCGTAATGAAACAACCGCTACATGATTTGCAACTGTAGCACCATATCTTGCAGCACTTAATGCTATTGCAATATTCATACGTGCATCATTATGTTGTCCATCATAATAAACAATAGCACCTTTTAATGATTCAGATTTTAACATTGGAAATAATTCCAATGAATTTTTTTTCGATAAAAAATAACTTGATTTAAGATTACGACTACCGGCAACCAAATCATATGCTTTTATTCCAATCCAAAAATATGGTACCTGCCACCATTTATAAACAGGTAACATTATTGGTAATGCTGATGATAAATGTGGTGCTATATCCAAAAGATTAGCACGTTCTTGTAACTATTTGAAAATATAGAAAACAAAAAATTAACTTTTTCGGATTTCCTTTTCGGTAAAATGTTACTTACAGCTTCTCGAACCATATGATATTGATCATAATCAAGTTTTAATATAGCTTTTTGTAGATAACGAACACCACCATGTATTAATTTTGTTGAACGACTAGATGTACCGGATGAAAAATCATCCAATTCAACCAATGCTGTTGATAAACCACGTGTTATTGAATCTAATGCAACACCACAACCAGTTGCACCACCACCAATAACCAAAACATCATAAACATTATTTGGATCTTTTAATTTTTTCAGCATTTCCATTCGACTGGGTAACATTTTCATTGGAACTAATTTTCTTTTCTGTTGTTCTTGTTGTTGATCATTTTGCTGTTGTGCATCGGCAACAACATCTCGCTTATGGAAATAATTTAGAAAAAAAAACAGAAAAATTACCACACTAACCATACAGGTAAAAATTCAAACCTGATTAATAAAACGATAAGCAGCATAACCCAAAACACCGGTACCGGTTGTATAAAGTAGAATTTTTCTAATTTGAAATCGAGAAAAATTTCCGGTTGCCATAATCAATGTGTGAAAAACTGAATGAATTTTTTTTTCAGGAAAATCTTTGGAAATTTTTCTGTTGTTTTTTTGATTGAGAAATTGTCACATCACATGGAATTTTTGATTTGAAAAACAGAAATTAACAAACGAAATTAGTTCAAACATTGAATGATATACCTTTATCATCGAATAACTTGAAAACACATTTTTCTCTGTGTGTGTTTGTGTGAAAGAAGAAGAAGAAGCAAAAAAGTTTTTCAATGTCAAAAAACAAACGGGATACAGCAAAAAAAAATATCTATTTTCAATTACAAACAAACAGAGATAAACAACGAGATATAAACACACACAACATAACATAAATAAATGAATGAATTTTTGCAATGCGAAAAAAAACAAAAATTCATCAATAAATGAAAATAATGATGATAGACAAATGAATATTCCTATATAGAGAAAAGACTATAACCATCATCAAGAATCTTTTTTTTTTCATTGAAGGTTAAATATATCCTCTATATAGTCAGTCTTGGCTGAAATAATATGCTGCGAAAAACACCGAAAATTCAGTGATTTTCAACCATTTTTCTCTTTCCCATCCTCCTTTCACTTTCAATTTAGTTTCGACAAATCTTCACCACACAAATACAAATATTTTTAATGATAATAATAATAAAATTATAAAGGGTAAATTATTTACATATTGTAATTCGTCTTGTTTTTGTTTGTAAATTTCCACTAATATTTTTTTTATATATTAATTTTTTTTGAGAAAAGAGAGAAAAAATTAAAATAATCACAGCATTTTTTTTGTAATAGTAGAGGTTATAAATTTCTTTTCTCATAGAAAAAAAAACACAGAAGATAATAATAATAATATTTTTTATAAATGTAAAATAATGGATTCAAGCTTTTTTTTTTAATTTAAATATCTTCTTCGGTTGCATTCGAATCGATTGGATATTCTGAATCAATTTCATCATCTTGTTCAAGTTCTTCTTCATCGATTTCAGCATCAATTAATTCGTCAATTTCGGCCATATCTATTGATCAATGGGGGGTGAAAAAATGAAAATTTTTTTGTTTCAATCAAAAAAAAAGAGAAAATCAAAATCCAAATACATACCAATAGAATTATCAATAGAAATATTACTATAATTACTATTAATTGGTCCAGTAATATATGTACTTCGTTGTGTGAATGGTGTTGTTGTTGGTGTTGAACTCATTTCTGATGATGTATCCAAATGACCAGTATGTATAATCAATTCTTCTGGTGATGTTTGATTTGGTTCGGTAAATTCTTTATGTTGATTTGCTGATCCTTTTGGATCGATATGTACGGCCCATGAAAAATTTAATAAAGCCAAATGTGTTTCACCACGAATTTTGTGTATCTAGCAAAACAAAAACAAAAACGTTATTACGATTGAAATAAGAAAATGATTGTTTTTTTAAATAAAAAACTTACTCTACCGATCAAAAAGAATACTACCGATTCTTTAGGTACCATTGTTTTTAATTCTTCTAATTCGGCTAATGATTGATCATATTCTTCCAAAGAAAAACGTATTAATGCACGTTGATATTTAATATTAACATTTTGTGGATCAATTTTGGTTGCTTCATTCAATAAATTTATAGCATCACGTGATTTTTTTAAATGATGCATTAGAATAGCTAAATGACACATTAATATTGGATTATATGGTGATATGTCTAATGCACGTTTATAATTTTGATATGCAAGATCATATTTTTCTTGTTTATAATATATTAAACTAATACCACACCATGCATTATAATGTCTTGGATCAATACGTGTTGCATTTACAAAACAAGACATTGCATTATCTAATTCATCGGCCGATATTAATTCATGACCTAATAATGTATATGCATAGGAAAAATTTGGATCAACTTGAATAGCACGTTTTAAAAATTTTATCGATATTTCATGATCTTTTTGTAATGAAAAACAATTTCCAGCAACACACCATGTTTCTGGTGATAATTTATCAAATTGAATTAATTCTTGTGATAAACATGATAATTCTAATTCTTTTTGTAGATGCCATAATGCTGTACTATATATTTCTAAACCTTGTAAACGATATGGTTCAATTTTACGACAATTTTTAAAACAATTTATAGCATCTTCATACGAGCCCATTTCAAAATGACAACGGCCAATCATTGATAATACAAATCCAGTATTATAATGATTTGTTGGTAATTTTTTAAAATATTCAATTGCATCACGACAACGATATTCAGCTAAACGTTTATAAGCGATTGCAAATTTTTTTATCAATTCAATCAAACAATTAGCCGATGAACGTTCTGATGTTTTGACACCATTTTTTGCTATATCAAATGGAATAACTATAATAAAAAAACAAACAAACATTTAAACTTAAATAAATCAACTAAATCTCAATAGCAAATACCTTGTATGGTGGTTGAATCATTTTCATTATTATTTTTTTTAACAATTTTTTTACTTTTATCAAATGATATTTTACGACGACAACGTTTAACAGGTGTAACTGGTCGATCAACAACAACAAGTTTTTTTGCTGCTGAAGAATTTTCCTTTATTGAACGTTGATCAGAATTTATTAAACGACTACTACGACGTGTTAATATTGATGATGAATTATTTTTTACCGTTACCGGATTGACTAATGTTTGTTCATTATCAATAATCATTTGTGTATCTTGTTGAATAGATTCTTTTCGTCCTGGAAAAACAAAATCAAATTATAGAAAAAAAAACATCACAGACATTTTTTCAACATACCACAAGAAAATTTTAAATCCAATTTTTCTGCATTAAATAATTGATCAATATCCACTTTGGATGGTTCAATTTGTAATAATTTTTCATATGAATACCATAAAAATGGATTCAATTTTAAGCTTAATGTATAATAATGTGTAGAAGCTTTTGTATCTTCAAGTTTATTAAATAATTGTCCCAATAATTGTGCAACAAATGATGCATTTTCACCATAAACATGAATTAAATCTTCTTTTGAAAATATTCTATCCGATAATAAATCATCATTGATTGGTTCGACTAATAGATTGGCTGCTTCTTCAATTTTACCCAAATGAAAACAACATTTTGCACGTAAAAAATGACAATTTGATGATTTATGTGGATTATATTTATTACGTGAAAGAATTGAATAAGCAACATTATATTTTCCCGAACGATAATATGCAGTTGCAAGTATGTATAAATTTTCTTCATTGCTTGCTAAATTATTTAAAAAAATTATCATTTTTTTTGATTTTGAGCAAAACAAAACCTACCTTCAGCATAAAGACGTTCGGAAAGAAAAATTGCATCCGGATAAGCATAATTATCCAAAGCAAACCATATGGCTGCCTATATTCAAACAAGAAGAACGTTTACTTAACAAAACAAATTCAATCCGAAAAAAAACGAATAAATACCTTGATTGGATCCTGTATAATCATGATTCAAATTGATTTTCACTTTCACTATTTCAATCTGTGAAATAATTATCAATCAAAGGTGGAAAAAATGAATGAATGAAATGATGATGATGATTTGTAATAATTAAAAACAATCAATCAAAAAAAAATTCTTATGTTTTAAACGAAAACAACAAAATTCCGTTTAAAAAAAAACAAACAAAAAAATTCAATTTTCACGGAAAAAAATATGGGCATTGACTGTTCGATTTATCACACACACAGTGAGGGAGCGAAAGAAAAAAAAATAACGAGCATATTCGGCAACTATTTACACACACACATCGTCTGTTGGATGAAAATATTATATTCTCAAAAAAAAATTTTGATTTTTTTTGGGTTTTTTTTCTGACGGAATCAATTTTTTCTTTTCACTTCCACTGATTGATACACATATTTTGTTAAGTTTATTTTCACATTGATTCTTCAATTCAATAGTTTTCTCCGATTGAAATTTTCGCGAAATCAAAAAAACGATTTTTCGTTAAAAAAAAATTCGAACGGCAAATGAGGAAAAGAAGGAGGAGGAGTTTCGAATTCATGAATTTGTATTTCTCATTGAGAAAAAAAAGTTTTTTTTGATCACGTGATATATACAAATGAGAACGAAACAAAAAACCAAAACAAAACAGACACAATTTCACATCTTTTATCCAGATCTTTATTACGAGAAGAAGAAGAAGAAGATGGGGACAAAGAACGAGCTTATCACCTTTTTATTTATCATCATTTTTCGATGATGATGATGATACGTTTTGTCTTGTATTTTTTATTTGTAACATTTGATTCGAATTTGTTTTTTGTTCTAAAATTCTCGAATTTTTTTTTGTCTCAATCAATTCAACTAATGACAATCGTTTAATTAGTGAAAATTTTTTTTTGTTCAAATCGAAATTGATAATCATCATTACCGTAAAAGGTCATTGTTCTAATCGGCTTACCTTTTTCAAATCCATTCAACGAAAAAAACCTGATTTTTTTTCTGTTGCTAAAATAACCGGAATTTTCTTCTACTTCTCACATAACAATTGACCTTATCATCATTATCATTCGGTCAGAAATATTGTGTGTTTGTGTGTGTGTAGGTGTATGTGTCATCACCATTATCATCTCTTCCTTGTTCATTCATCAATAATAATTCCTATGTTCAATTCCTATCGGGTGTCTGTGTCTTTCAATGTGTGTGTGTGTTTGGTATTCGTCATCCTGAATGAACGTCAATTCTTCAAGTGAAGCAATAGCAGAAGAAGTTGAAGAAAAAAACTGGCTTTTCCTCATCATCATCATCATTGATTTTTCCCCAGACGATTGAGCAACGAACAATTCATAATTATGTTATGAGTGTGTGTTTTGGTTGAATTTACATGTTTTTTTTTCTGATTAATGAATGAATGAATGAATAAATTTCATCGATAATGTCAAACATTTTAGAACATCATTTGAATAATAATAATAATAATAATAATACTGATGATGATGATGCGGATGATATTGTGATATCGACAAAATCGAATGTTTTGTTGAAAAATTCTTCCATTTCTATCAATAATAATAATAATGATGCAGATGTAGATGATGATGATAGAAACCAGTTTACAATCAATGAATCATCATTATTGAATAATAATAATCTAAAACTAAACGATCAACAAGTTTTATATAATAATCATATATCAACATCTAAATCATTTCCCGTTATTCAAAATGATTATGTTCATTCTTTTAACGATACAATCGATTGTTCATCATCATTTAATCCTTCCACCACTACTTCAATAATAACGAATATTTATGATGGTAATGATAGATTAACAACAAAATCATCATCGACAACAACAATACCGTTAATCAATCTAACAAACGAATCATTTATACAATTATTTTTTCCAAATTTTGCTCAACAAATATCAACAACAATAATGAGTGGTTTGAATTGGATCAATCAGATAAATGCTGCAACATTGTTTCAAAATATTTGGACATCATCAGGATTTTTACGTCGTCGATTTTCATCATCATCACAGGCATCATCACCAATACCGACAACAACATCATCATCACCGATAAATAATGAACAATCAAATAATATTCAAGATGATTTTACATATAGACAATATAAATTTGCAAAAATTTTAAATGGTACAATACGATTACAAACACTGAAACCATCTGAATTGATTGAATTATCAAGTTTTGGTTTAGTTGAATTAGATAATGATATTGAACCGGGTATTGGACATGAATTTCAGGTATTTTTTTAAAAAAACAAAACAAAAATTTGAATGTTTGAAATGTTTATGAAATGATTAACATTTTTTTTCTATCAAAAATTTTTCTTCCTTTTTTTCCATTTTTATATAAACAAACAAAGCGATATGAAAATGATAAAGCAACTTGGTGTGATAGTTGTGGTGAATTTCTATTTCCATCAGTTATGGATGATAATAATGTTGGCGGTGGTGGTGGTATCGATGATGATTCGAAAACAAAACAATTTAATAATAATAATAATAATAACAGCGACGACCACGATGACAACGATGTTGGACAAAAAAATTCATCTACATTGACAACAACAACAAAAGTTTCCAATACGGCAACAACAACAACAAAAACATCAGTATCCATACAAGCTGATCATTTATTACGTACTTATTTTCAATGTACAAAATGTAAATATATATGCCATTGGAAATGTTTACATTTGATTAGAATTGATTGTCGACAACATTCACCACAATCAACAATGATGATGATTCCATCGTCCAGTAATGATAATAGAGCATCGAAAACAACAACAACATCGACGTTAAAATCCGATGAAATTGATAATAATAATAATATTGATGATGATGAAAATAATTCGGAAATATCGATTGTAACAACAAACAACAGTATCGATTTGGAGAATAATCAATCAACAGCAACATTGTCAACGGAAACTTCATTTGCCGATGATGATGATAATGATGAAAGTTCAGACAATACGACAATGACCACTAGCAACAACAGTATAACATCCGTATTTATTGATGATAATATTGATGAATCGAAAAAAATCAATGGTGAATCGAATAATAATGTAAATCAACAAACAGCAGCAGCAGCTAAATCATCTTCAAATTCATCATTTATAATTGAATCCTCATATTTAATAACACCAAAAATCATATCGGATTTACGTGCGAAAATTCTTAAATATAATGAACGTGTTCGTAGTCGTGGTTCTGGTTTAGGTATTACATTGATTGATGAACAACGTTGCTTATTTCGTGGTTTTTTACGTGTACATATGAATTTAACACGGCCAATAAATGTTATTGCCGGTAAACGACCACCATCAATTTATGATATTATTAATGATGAAGAAAATAATCAAAATCAACGACGTACATTGACTAGTTTCTATATGCCAAGAGATACGGTAAAAAATATTCATATTACAAGTGATAGTACTAGTCTACAGGTAATAAAAGCAATGTTAAAAAAATTTAAAGTTGTTGATAATCCACAAAAATTTGCCCTTTACTTACGTCGTCGTTTTCCTCAGGAAGAATTGAACAAGAATGGTAATAATAATGATGATGATTCAATAACCGATGATACAAAAAATCAAAATGAAATGACAATCAATAAATTTTTAAAAACAGCCGGTCATGAACATAGCCTTAAACGATTACATGATCATGAACGACCATTAATATTACAGCTAGAATTTGATAGTTTTGCATATTGTTCGGTTGATATTGTTTTACAAGAAAATGATAATGCTGATATTGCATGGGATGCATTTGAAATACCAGAATTAAGAAATTTTTTAAAAATATTAGAACGTGAAGAATATGAACATTTACAACATGTTCGTGCACATTATCATGAAATGCAACGTATTTTAAAAGCATTAATCGATTATGAAGAAAATAGATTAATAAAAAATTCTTACCGTAATAATAATAATAATAATAATAATAATAACAACGATAATGATACCGGTAATCAATCCGATAATAATAATAATACCGGTAATATTTTAGCTGTAACAAGTTGAATATTTATTACGATTTTTGTCCATCCTGAATGTTGTAATTTTTTTTTGTTGTTATTGTTTAAAAAATATTTTGAATTCATCAATTATATATCACATTATGAATTTAAATAAACAAAATAAAAATATTATTTTTTTGAGTTACAAAAAAAACCGGAAATTGATTTTTAGTTTTAAAAAAATTACAAAAAGAATTTTTGTAATTTTTTACAAAAAAATTCCGATATTTATGAATAGCGAAATCATCGAATCAATGAGAAAAAAGAGCGACATTTTCTTTTCGGAATGCGCAAACTCACTTTCAACAAACAAATTTTTTTTTTTGTTTATAATACTCTCCATACTCCATGCTCCATGCATCAAATCCACCATGTTGTTTGTTCAAAAAAGAAAAATGTCGCCATGCATCAATCAATGTTTTTGGTAAAAAATAAAAAATCCTGGTCAACAAAAATAATTTTCATTTTAGTCTAATGATTTTTCATTTTCTTCAAATGATTCATCATAATAAAAAATCGATTACCATGTGTGGGGTGATTACTGTTTGTTTGTGGTTTTCCGTGTGATATTTTTTTGCTTTCAATCGACAAAAATCGACGATCAAAACAATTCAATCATCGAATCGAATCGATAGTTATTGAATTCATCAGAGAGTGTTATTTTTACCGTTACAAACAAAAAAAAATTATTGATTTTTTTTTTGGTTGAAAAATTTTTTTTCCCCTTCCATTCGAACTGTAATAAATAATTAACCTGTGCATGTGTCGGTCATCTTATTCAAATTGATTGGATTTTCTTTCTTTTTTTCAAAAAAAATCATCATATTCATGAATTTGTGAAACAGTTTTCATCATTTTAAAATTTAAATTGGCAAAAAGAAAAAAAAATCCAATATGACCACCTTGGTTACGTCCTATATGAATTGATTTGTCATTTTCACTTTCATTGCGTTCATATTTTTTTTTTTTTTGCTGTTTGTTGTTGATACGCCATTTTTTTTCATCAAAACAAAAATTCGAATCGGTGATAATCAGAACAAAAAAATGTCCGCTACAACGAATGTGTTTGATATAAATCAACCATCAACATCACAACAAAATCTCGTTCAATCATCATCATCATCAAACGAGATGAAACCGAAATTAAATCTTTCGGATTATCGACGACAAATTCGTAATCGTCGTCTAATATCGAATAGTAGATTGAATCAAACATCAAATAATGGTAATAATAAATTACGTAAATGGAAAAAATTAAATCTACGTCGTTATGCAAATAATGATGATGAAGTTGATTTACAAAAAGTTATCTATTCATGTTCATATCAATATTATTCGGATGATTATTTAATGCGTATACATCAAATATTAAGTAATGATCTTGATTATCATATTGGTTATCAAAATTTTGATGAACAATTAACATTAACAACACATGACCAGCAATTGATTGATGAATTTGAGATAAATACATTTGAAGATGTTTATGATTTTGAATTATATTCAAAACAACAATCATTAAATTATATTGAACAAATGATTGAAAAACGGCAACAGGAAAAATATCAAGATCAATTGGCACAGGTTAGTTATGATGAACCGGATCCAAATATTTTACATGCAACATTTATTGATCCATTACGTGTTGAACAATTAACGAAACGTAAACGTCGATGTCCACGAACAACATCAACAACAACAGATTATTTATCAATTTGTGAACCAATTTTAGCCGATGAGGAAGAAGAAGATGATGAAGATGATGTTGGTGATGAACGATTACAATTAGCTAATGGCCATAATGAAGCAAAATTATCGAAAATTCAATCGATTGGAAGAAAAAAATTTCGTTCAAATAGCCAAACAACAACATCGACAAATGATTTAAATGGTAGTGATTCATCATTTTTTCCTGAATTATTTACACGTACATCAAGTCGTGGACGTGTTATAAAACCAAAAAATAATGATCAATGGTTATTAGATATGGAAGAATTGGATGCATTGGATGAAATTATTGGTGCTTATGATAATGAAAATGATGATCATTTTGATAAAATTAAATCTACCAATGATGATGATAATGATGGTGATGAAAATACCCGACAACAATCAACAATGATGGAAAAGAAATCATCACCGAAAGAATCATCATCATTATTACCAACATCAAGTTCTCGTACATCAATATCACCATTTCGTACACAAATATCTGATAATAAATCTCGAACATCATTATCGATTCATCGAAATTATTCAATATTAAGAAATGGAAAATATTCATCATCATCATCATTATTATCACGTACAAATAAATGTCGTTCACTTTTAGCACAGCCATCACCATCATCATCATCGACAACGGCAACAACAATCAATCAGACAAAATTACCATTAAAAATACATAATATATCTTATAATGGTTTACCAATGAAAATGAATGGTGATAGAAAATTATTGTTTTCACAACAACAACAATGTTCAACAAGTAAAAAATATGAATCAACAACAACAATGATTTCATCGGAAGAATCAAAATTTACACCAATTGTACAGCTAGAAGAATTGGATACAAAAATAGATTCAGATGATCGATCTAATGATGAAAATAATCATCCTGATAATATTGATACAAATAATAATAATAAATTTGAATATCCACCGGATAGACCGAATAATTTACAACCAGCAAAAATATTTTCACGTTTTACACCGATGGGTTGGAAATCATTTTTAATTAGTCAAAATGATACGAAAATTTATGAATTTAATTATGGAAATTTAGGTAATGATCGTACCGTTTTTATTGATACAATAAGAAAAATTGGTGATAATATTGATGAATCAATAGCATTTGATCATAATGATAATCAGAATAATAAGAATAAGAATAAAAAATGTAAAAAAATACCATTCTCATTTTCGGAAGTACCATTTTTAAATCGTTTACAACAATCGGATAATGAATTTCGTTTATATTTAAGTACAATACCAATGTTATTGAATATGTTGAATCATCGTGATAATGAAGAACAATCAAAACATTTTCAAGAAAAATCAGAAAAATATATTAATATTTTAGGTAGATTTTATGAAAAACATTGTCAACGAAGAATGAAAAAAAATATAATAAAAAAAAGATCAAGACAATCATTATTGCGTAGATGGCTTATGAATGATGTTCAAGAACAATATTCACTTTATTCATTAAAACCATTTGATGATGTTTGGAATGCAAATCAACAACAACGTTTAGAAATATCGAAAAAATTTCAACCAATTCATACAACAATTAATCGTTCGATGCCAATTGTACCGAAATCTGCTTTTCCAAAATCATTTCAATCATCATCATCATCATCAAAATCTATTTCATTAACACCGAAACCGATAACAGTAACACCAACAATGACAGCCAAAGTAAATTCAAATGGTCAAATACAATTATTTCGTAAAGAAATAACACCAATCAAATTAACAACACATCCGAATAGATCAACAATTGGTTCGAGTGCAACAGCAACAGCTATTGCTGCTGCTGCTGCACAAATTCAAAAATCAAATCAAAATTCACAATTACCTGTTGTATGTAAAATTCCAAATAATGTTGGTTTTAAATTACATCAAACTTCGTTTGATACAAATATGAAAACTATTCAATTGATTCCATCGAGTATGTTTTCATCATCCTCAGCATCATCATCATCAACAACATCAGCAACAGCATCAACATCGCCAACAGCAACAACAACAAATACGAAACCAATATCGGTTACATCGAAACCGATAATATTTCGTGTACAACCATCATCATCATCAGCAATTAATCAAATTGTACAACAAAAACGAATGGCCGAAGATCAACCAGAACAACAACAACAACAACAACAGGATCAACAGCAGCAGCAGCAGCCACCATTGAAAAAGATAAAAACTGAAATCAATGATGATGATGAAATAACAATCGTACATGAACATATACCAAAAAAACCGATCAAATTGATTCAGGTAATGTACCAAGAAAATTCTTTAAAACAACAACAACAACAAAAACTAATATTTTCCATTTATTTAGGTAAAACGAACAATCAACAATACAAAACAAAAATCTTCAAATCTCCAATTGAACATTTTGAATGATGAGAAAAAATTCTTTACTATACTTAAACGTTTACCATTGAAAAAACGACGTATAGCATCGAAAGTTTTAATGATGTATATTTTTGCTGCTATTATTGTTAAATCAAGTAAGTTTTTTTTTATTTGGAAAATTTCTTTTTTCGTAATTTATCATTTTTTTTTTATTTTCTTTGAAGAGAAAAATTCGACATCGAATAATAATCAAAAGAAAATCAGCAACCAAAATGATAAATTCAAAAAAGTTTGTAAAACAAAAAAATCTATTTTCATTTTAAAAAATTAAACATTTTTTTTCTTTTCTCGTCATTTTAGAATGAAAATTTCGTCATTAATAATATGGATTTAGATTGAAAAAATGTGAAACTTTGATGCTGAAATCAATTTTTGTGATTACAAAATTCTTAACACGTTCTTCTCACTGGCTAATCAAACACACACACAAGTCTTCAACGAAATAACCACAAATAGCCTTGGTTCAATTTTTTGAAGCTCAAATTATTTTTTTTCTGGATTAGTGATATTTACCATGAATCTTTAATTTTGTTTTGCGAAGAAACTCGAGAATTTTTTCCTCTTTTTTTTTTGATTTAATTTGTTTGTTTGTTCATATTATTGATGATTATATTAAGTAATTAATTAATAAATAAATAATTTTTTTGTTTGTTTGTTTGAAACTTATAAATTCGTTATAATTTTATTTATTGAAAAATTTCGATTTTGATTTATTACTGGTTTTGCTGAATAAAGTTTTTTTTTTATTAAAAAAAAAAAATAGAATGTTCTGGTTTTTTCATCGAAACATATTGAAAATAACAACAAATAGTCCGGAAATATTTACAGGTAATGGACCAGATGCAATACCATTATCATATGTATCAAGTCAATTATTAACACAATTAGATCAAATACGTAAACAAATATTACAAATAATGTATGATGGTCAACCAGATGCAACAAAAGATGAACGTTTAAATGATTTATTAATACAATATTTTAGTTTATTTCGTGGTTTTATTTATTTACCAAGTGAAACAATATTACCATGTGATGATTGGGAAAAATCAAAAAAAATTAAACATTCTGAACAATATTGTCGTTCACCATTACGAAAATTATTTCGTTTTAAATGGGAAGATTCATGTTCCGAATCAGCAATATCCGGTAATGATTGTTTATTTGAATTAACATCAATATTAATGAATTATAGTTTATGGTTAATGGATTTTTGTCGTACCGTATCAAGAATATTACCATTAAATTATTTAGCACAACATGTACAGGCATTTCAAAAAATTTTAAATCGTTCAGCCAGTATATTTAAATATATTCGTCAATATTGTCTACCATATTTACCCGAATTATTAACAATGAAATATGATTTAGATCCATTAATAATCGATACATATTATTATCAAACAATTGGTGAATCATTGGAAATACAATTTTTAAAAATATTATTAGATATGTTGGTTGATCCATTTGAATTTAAATTAACTGATTATGGTGGCCCGTATGAACCAAAATCAATTGCACAATTAACATTGATTGTTTCACGTAATTTTTATGATGCATCTGAATGTTTAAAAAAATCATTGACGGAATCATTAAATAATGATAAAAATGAAACAAATTGCTATAAACAATGGTTAACATATTTAGAATTAAAATATTATTATTATCAATCATGGAATATAATATCATTAGCATATGATCAATGGTTACAAATTAATAATACAAATATAAAAAATGATCAATTACAAATTGCTAAAGATATTATTGAAGCTGATCGTTATCGTAAATTATGTAAAACATGTATAAAAAAATATAATACAAATCGTCGTGATAAACAACGTGAAGATCGTATAAATAAATCAAGTTTTTTAGCTGAATTACGTTTATATATACAGATGATCAAAGATCAGATACGTACAATGAAACGTGCATCAATTGAATTTGAATCATTTGATTATGAAAAAAAAGATGATATGGATAAAATTCCATATAAATTACCATCATTTGATGAAATTTGGAATGTTAGTTTGTATAGTGAATTTGGTATACATTTAGATCAAGAAGATGAAAATGCATTAGAATTACAAACACCCGATATTAAGGAAGAACGACGGAAAAAAAGTAAGTTTTTTTTTGTTATAATTTTTATTACAAAATTTTAATTGTAAAATGATATTTACCCTGTTAGAAAAACGAACAAAATTACAAGCATTAACAAATTGGTTAAAATTTAAATCAAAAGATATAAGAAAAGGTGGTGATAAACGTCAACAACAGCAACGAGAACAAAAACAAGATATTAATCTAAAATCACCAATGCCATATGGTGGTTATAAACAAACATCAAAAAAATCAAGAAAAAATATAACACCATTAACCGTACCGGTTGATGATTATGATTATGATGATGGTCGTCAAAGAAAACAATCATCATCTAAACCACCAATACGATCACAGAAACCGAAATTATCACCACCCATACAACAACAACAACAACAATCAACAAGAGGAAGTATACCTCCGCCACCTCCTCCTCCGCCGCCACCTCCAGGTAGAGGTAAAACACCACCACCTCCACCACCACCTTCAGGTAGAGGTAAAATACCACCTCCGCCACCTCCGCCACCACCACTTCCACCTTCTACAATAACAATCGAAAAAAGAAAGGAAGGAAAAGCACCGTTATTATTTTCAGGTAATACATTTCAACAGGAATTATTGGCAAGAATTGAACAACAACAACAACGTGGAAAAATCGGTACATTTATGCAGCCAACAAGACCACCACCACCGGAACAACCATTATCACCAAAATTTAAACGACCAACATCACCTATTGATTTAGTTGCAGCATTAAAACAACGTATCGGTGAATTACGTGATGCAACAGGAAGTAAATCTTTGGATGAACCATCAAGTAGTGAATCGGATTCATCATGGTTAAAATCTAGTAAATGTTAATGTTTTTTTGTTTTTTTTGGTGGGAAAATAAAACTTGGAAATTTTATTTTATAAACAAAAAAAATTATCAAGATGAAGATTGACGACTATTTTTATCACTTGGATAAAAATCGAATTCGAATCATTTGTGTGTTCGAATTTGGCATGCGCAATTCAATTTTTCCTTTCTTTTTTTTTGTTAGCGAATTCGCCCAAAACTAAAATTCGATTTTTTCATTTCGTTCGAAAAATTTCATCTTTCATAATCTTCATTTTTCTTTTTCATTTATTTCTTCAAATTTTCTTCCATTTCAATCAATCAATCAAATAATCTTCGAATGTGTAATAGAATTCGTTATCAAATCATTAATCTTTACATCAATGTATGTGGTATTGATGTTGGTGAACAATATGTACGTATGATGTCAAAAGAAACGTTAAATAATCGGCTTGGTTTGTTGGCAAATTTTGAAAAACAAGTAAAAAAATTACGTTCAATTTTAAATAAAAAAATTGTTACTATCAATGATAATGGATCAATAATATTGAATGATCTTTTGATGAAATTGGATAAAATTTCTATATGTTTGATAAAATTATTCGATGAAACATATAATGAATATGAACAAAAATGTTCATCCGACGATAATAATATTATCATTAATATTGATGATAGTACTAATAATGATTATGATGATGATAATAAAATTGTTGATCAAAATCCCGAAACAATTACAAATCAAATGGAACATTATGATATTAAAATCGATTTTCAATATGAAGATTTATTCGATGATCATCAAGATGATAAATATTTAGATTTAGAATGGAAAAAATGGTTCAAATTTAGTAATGAAATGTGTATTAAACTAAGGATTTATTGTGTCGATCGTTTTGATAATGAATTATCAAATGAAATGCGTAATGAATTGAAACAAATATTAAACATTCCGAATGATTGGAATAAAGAAAACAATCAATCAACCAAACAAATTGATCAATTTATTCAAATGATTAAAACATTACAAGAATTATGGTATGTTGTTGAATCTGTACATGAAACAATAATGAAAAATGGTTGTCATGATTATTTTATATGGTTATGTGGTGAATTTTCCAAAATTCTTATATTTCATAACAATGCAACGAGTGCAAAAGATTCATTCACATTTGTACATTTATTCAGTACAAAATGTCGTATCGTATTTTTTGATTTTTGTCGTGAAGGTATCTATCAAGGATATAATGATAATGTACGTATGATCAATTCGGAATTAATAACAAAATTATGTCGTTCTGATTTCTTACCAAAAAATTTGATATTTGTTTGCTGTAAATATCTACTTAAATTGAAGAAAAAAATTCATATCAAATGTTTTATACGAATAATTCAATGGTTTGATTTGAAATTATTTATACATTTTCTAATGAAAACATATACAAATGAATCAAAACAAAAATATATTCGATCAATATTTGATGATATTGATCATATTATCGAATCCAAACATCAATCACCTTCTAATCATCAATTATCAACCAAAATGATTTCAACATTGAAACAAATTTTGGAATTGAAAAAAAAATTAGAAGTTTAATCATCAAAAAAAATCAACAACAAAAAAAAATGTTTTCAAAAAAAAAATCGTTTTTATCCTAATCCTGTCGCCATCTATTATCGATTGATTAATATAATTCGAATGTTTTTTTTTATGTGTGTGTTCGAAGCAAGAAAAAATACAAACAAGTTTTTTCATTCATTCAAACTGTTCCACTACGAATACTGAAGTTGAAATTGAAAGAAAAAAATTATTTAAAAAAAATTGAAATAAAAAAATCCACAAATCACCACCACATCATTTAGAAGTGGCAATGTTTTTTTTTTGGTCACTTTGTTGTTGTCGTTCTAGTAGCATTAATTTATTATGATCGGTTATTATTGTGAAATCGAAAACTTCGAGTGTTTTTTTTTGGTGAAAAAAAATGTTTTCCTTTTTGACAATGATGTTGTATACAACATTTTCGAAATTTCCGAAAATTTTGGATATCGATAATGATGGTGGTGGTGACAATTTTTGATTTTTTTTTTCTTCGATACGAATTCCTTCGATTCGAACATTTTCGAAAATACTCTAATTATATTCTACAGGTGTGAATTACTCTGTAAATGAACCAAAGAAGAAAAAACCTTCTATTTTTTTCAATTCAAACTGCTCAATTCTGACTGAATGTATTATTATTTTTCGAAGTGAATGAAGTGCCTTGGTTTTTAAAATCAAAAAACTTTTATCTTTCAGTTTTCTTGTAATTTTTTATTTTTTGTTTGTAACATCAAAACAACGACCAAATCAAAATGAAATCCTCAATTGCAATATTCATATCGATCAAATTAATATCGATCATTTTGATCAGTCAGATCGATAATCATAATCATCATAACGGATTTGTTGATGCATTTAAATTTACTGATCGTTTTTGTAATTATACTGCTTATCCAACAAATGGATGTGAAGAATCAGAATTTACAACATGTATCGATAATAAATGTGCTTGTCGTGATGAATCTGATTATATAATAATGGGTAGATTTTGTACAAAAAAATTATGTTCAAATGGTGAATTTTTTGATGCAGTCAAACAAAAATGTTCAGAACAAAGTAAAGCAAGTTCAGATTTTACTGAAAATCATTGTCGTTATGATTATCATTGTTTTGGTCAACATATACGTTGTCGTCGACAAGCATGGAATTATATTTGTTTTTGTGAACCTGGTTTTCAATATGATTCATATTCGAAATTATGTTTACCAAAACATGGTATTGGTGGTCATTGTAAACATAATAATGATTGTGATGATACAACATTACGAAAAATGTTTTGTGATTTTAATCAAAAACAAAATGATAATGGTAATGATGATAATGATAGAAAATCCTCAAGTGGTACATGTCAATGTCAAGAAAATCATCGTTATAATTATATTATTGATGGTTGTGAAGCATTGGCTGATATTAATGAACGTGAACATAATATGCGTACATTAGTTTTATTATTTGTTGCTGCTGGTCTTTTATTCGGCCTAGCATTGACTTGTAATTTTAGTTTTTTCGGTTTAGGAACTAAAAATCAGGAAATATTTTTACAACAATTAAAAGCTGAAGAACGTATTAGACAAATGAAACGTGATCGTGATCGATTATCACGTGCTGAAAATGGACAAATCTCAAACGCAACAACAACAACCATACAACCGGAACCGAAAATAATAAGTTTGAATGGAAAAGACAACAATGATAATGATGATAATCAACAACAACAACCATCAACATTGAATGTTGTTGATAATTCAACAATCATTCAGCAGCAACAAAATGAAAGCACAAATAAATCATCTGTACCATCAAGAAAATCATTGATCATGTTGGAATGAACTGATGATCCAGAATTCCAGATACATTGCCTTTTTTTTTGGTCCAAGAATGAAGCATTTCTTTCTTTCTTATAAAACGAAATTATCATTATTCCATCAACAACATTCAATATTTTTTTTTTAAATTTGACATTTATAATTTCTGTTAATTCTTTTTTTTATAATTATCTTTTTTATTATTTTTATTTTTCGACTTTTACTTTTTCAACAATTCTATCTATAATAATCCACTTCATTATCTTCTTTTATTGGTAGAAAATACTTTTTATACTTTACAATTACAACAGGACATTTCGAAACTCACCCAAAGAAACGATCAACAATGTATTTTTTTTTTTAATTGTAAAAATTTTTTTGTAAAACAGTATTTCTTTTATAATAATCAGGCATTTAAACTTGTAATGCAGCTATTTTTTTTTATATAAAAAAAAGACAACTAAATAATCTGTATTTTTCTATTATAAATATATACTCGTTCCTTGTAATTTTTTTTTTTGAATAAAAATAAAATTAATTTTTTTTTAATTGAAAATTACAAAGTTTTTTTTCGATGAAAATCTTTTGGATAAAAATTTTGGTCAGTGGTGATGACCACCACTTGATGGCAGCACCGTGGCTGTTTTTGTTTTTTTTTTTGTGGAAAATTTTCAAAATCCTAACCACTACTGACCTCTATCGTTAATTTTTTCAAAAATTTTTTTTCTATTCATTTCAGGCGCGTGTTTTTATTTTTCGCATTCAAATGAGAGAAGATAATTTTCCATTCAAAGAACAACAAGAAATACAATTTTCAATCAGTGTTTCAATTGCATCCTATTGCAGAAATCAAATGTATGCAAATTTCTTCATTGTTTTGCGCGCGCATCTAATTTCGTTATTCGTTTCATCTTCACATCTTCGCGTTTTTTTTTGGTGAATGGTAACAACGACGAACATATATAATGGATGTTTGTATAAGAGAAAAGGACTGGAAAGAGAAAAATGAAAATGAAATTAGCAAAGCAAAGCAAAACAAGCAAGAACCAAATAATCAAGCCAAGAATCATATAGAAAAAAAATCGTTTTTTTTCAGTTGTTCGTTGTGAATATTGGCCATACATTTATATGTTTGTATGGTTTCCCTTGCATCGTCGTTGTTGTTGTTTTTTGGATATGAAATGTGTGTCTGGCGTGAGAACAACAACAACAACAACAACGATAACGAAGAAGATGATGAGAGAAGCCGGCACATTTCATATGGATTTATTACATCCAGTGAAAAGAGAGTGAAGAGTGATGAGAGAAGAGAGAAAAAAGGATAAAACACGCTCGCGATCATAATTATGTTTGATGATGATTTGAATTCAATCATCAAACATTTCGTTTGTTTTGCCATGTTTTTTGTTTTGTTTTTTGTTTCGAATCTCGATATCCGAATACAAAAAAAATGATATGCACGAACCACCGAATGAACAATAATAATTTCAACAACTTCTGTATCATGAATATTTTATAAATACAGAAAAAAAAGTTTTCAATCCGAAACGAAAAAAACAAAAATGTGTTCAAAATTAACAAAGTTATCGACAACTTTGACGACAACAACATTAAATATTCATATAAAAATGATTTATTATTGGTGGATGATAATACCATTTCTGGATTGATTGATTGATTGATTGATTCTGTTTGATTTTTGCTCTGCTTTGATTTGATTTGATTGAAAAAAAATTCTCATCGTTAAAATCCTTGTTTTTTTTTCTTTCAAAATTTTAAATGTGATTTTGCTGTTTGTTGTGCCAGTGCTTTCTACCAGTGTCTGTGTTTCTCGGTGCTGATGATGATTATATGGTGATGGCGTAATCTCATTCGATATTACGATGTTTGAATGCAACCCCAAAAATCATCACCAGAAACGAAACAAAAAAAATGGAAATATGAAAACGAAACAAACAAAAAAGTGATGAAAACCAAACTGATGAAATTGTTTGATTATCGATTCGTTACGAATTCTGATTGATTGATGATCATCATCATTGACAACAACAACAGCATAATCGAATCATCATCATCATCATTGAGTTCGTTTCAAATGAAAAGTGTAATTCTTTTCTGTTGGTGTTTTGTTTTCCATCATCATCATTTGATTGACAGAAATGAAATCCCAAAAAAATCCAGTACAATTTTTTCACTAATTAAATTATGATTATTGAAGAGGAAATTTCATCAATTAATAGCAGCAGCAGCGGCAGAACATATTTTGCATAAAATTTGAATTTGAATTTCATCATTTCATTTGTAATGTCATTTTGAAGTGAAAATGAAATCATTTTGAAATTTTTCAGTGTGTGTAAATGAAATTTTTTTGTGATATAATTCCCTTTCAAATAAAAATTATCGATAATCGATAGTATCGATAGAATCGATACTGAAAGTGTTTTACGTTTTTTTTAAAAAAATCCGTTCTCCAAAGCCAAAGATTTTTTACCTGAATTTTTTTCATTTGAAAAAAAGAAAAAACTTTACCAAATTTGATTTTTTGTTCTTTCTTTCTTCCCTTATCTCATTCTCATCGACAACTACGACGAATGCAATGAACAACAACAACAACAATCAAAATCTATCTTTAGATTGAAAAAAAAACAACCAAAGAATAATCGGCAAAACTAAACAAAATTGAACAAATTCTCTTTGCATACACACACACACACACATTCCAAATGGTAATGTAAATTTTTCCTGTTTTAAAATTTAAATTTTTATTGATTAACTGACGATTCAAACACCCAAAACACATAACAAAACATTCACACACCCACCCACGCGCACACGTGTTGATCATGATCGCATATTGTTTACCGTTTCGTTTTTTATGGCCATTTCCTTTTTTTTCATTCTCTCTCATTCGGGATGTTTATTAACAAATTTTACATCATTTTTTTTTGAAAAATCTGAAATTAACAATCAAACACACACACACACACAGACAAACAAACGAATTGACGTCATTCATTTGTTTTGATGAAAATGAAAAACAAAAACTGAACTGAACTGAAATGATTCTTGTGAAATTGTCGACTTTGTCTTGATTGGATTGTGCTTTTTATTCGAATATCAGATACGAATTTTTAAAGTTTTTCTCACTAAGTAAACACCCATTTTTCGTGGTAAGAGAAGGGGGTTAAATTTCAAAAAGGGTTGAATTTTATCAATCCTAAAAACAAAACAAAAAAATGATTGATCGATTGATTCGGAATCGATACGTGATCAGAATAAATTGCCGAAAAAAAACGAACGATTTTTGATATAAAAAAGGTACACACTTTGAATGAAATTGATATCAATGATTTTTTGATTTTTTGTCCTTTATTTTATCGATGCTGAGGTCAAGTCACATTTTGTATTTTGTAAGTTAAAAATTTTTCAAACGGTTTGCCCAAATATCCAATAAAGATGATAAAGATGATAACACGATGGGAGAAAGTGTAGGATTGAAACCAGTCAAATACTGGCTTTCTCGAAAAAAAAATATTGACAAGGAGAAAGAAAAAAAAGGTCAAAGTTGTTAACGTTGAATTATAGATGATATTCTTTCGTCGATGATGATGGTGATTTTTTTAACCATTTGGCCGGCCATCATGAATGAATGAATGAATGAATGAAGACGAAAAGAAAAAAGAAGAAAAAACCAGACAAATGTGGAAAAAACCGGTGAATAAATACCGGTGTGTGTTGTGTTTTGGTGTGTGTTGTCTTCTGTTGGTGTGTATGTATGTCTTATATCATTTGGGAAAATCTCTAGTTTTTTTCTTTTTCTTCTTTTTTTTCCAGTTTTCTATCCATTTACTTCGTGTGTAGTTTGTGTGTATGAGATTAATATATTATCCATGTCGGTCATTGAATTGGTTTTATTCAATTAGATAAATCAAAGACGAATTCAATAAAGAAAGAAAGAAAAGTTTCTTTTCCATTGTTTTGTTCAGTTTGCTTTGTTCTGATATTTTCCGAAGATCATATTTCAAATTTTTTTCAAAAATCGATTAATTCATTGGTTTTTTTTTTGTTTTGTTTTTGTTGTTTTTATTGATTCCTAATCACGTTTCAATAATATTTTTCAATATTTTTCAATATTATGAATGATGATCATCATCATCATTTGTGAAATTAACGGAAATGTTTCAATGTTATTTGTTTGTTTGTTTATCGATCAGATCATGACAAAGTCATTCCATCCATTGATTGATTGATTGATTGATTTTTGTTCACCAATCATCTTTATCATTATTATTATTATTACTATTCACCTTCAGATGTCATCTTATTGATTATCATTATCATCATCATTGGATGGTGGTGGTGATAATGATGATCTACTAACACCGATGATCTACCACTCCGTTTTTGTTTTGTAGGGGGTGTGTGATTTTTTTCTACCTGAAATCATATCGTCATATAAAAATGAGTTTAATTTCGTTCGATTCAATCTTGTTCTTTGGATACACCGAACAAGAATCCGAATTGTGATTTGTTGTGAGTGAAATAATTTTCAACCAACAACAACAACAACAGAATTTAACACTTTGCTTGATTCTTTTGTGTGTTCAAACGGGTGTTTATGTTTCAAAAAAAAAACAAAACAAAATTATTATCCATTGTTTTGCGACAGAATTATAAATTGAAATCAGGTAATTAAACTTTTTTTAAAATTTTTTAAAAAAATTCTTTCAAATTTTACAACTAACAAAAAAAAACATTAAAAGCTAAAATTCTTTTCGATTCTCTCTCTTTATGTATTTTTTGTATTTTGTCTTACTCTGTGTGTATTTTATCTATTTTTAGAATCTGTAGTATTGCATCTTTTATCTCTTTTTTGTTGGTTGTTTGATTGAGAATTTAGGTCAAACCAAATTCACAAGATTCTTTTTTTTTTTTTTTTTTTGGTTTGGTTTGAACATGAAAAATTTTTCATGGTCGGAAATCAATTCAAATGAATTATCAGAATTTGTCTATATTAACAACAATAGTTGATACGATTTCAGTCGAAATAGTTTCGAATGTTTTTTTACTTTCGAATATTCTTGTCGTCTCTTACAGAATAAATTGAATTTTGTTATCAAAAAAAAATTGAGAAAATGAAAAAAGATTGTCACGGCTACCGAATTGGTTTTCATTTGTATCAAATTTTTGGTTTGTTTCGTTCTATTATCATTTCAATTTGAAATTGACTTTTCCGCAAAATAAAAAAAATCCATAAGTATCTTTCTATAATGACATAGTTTTTTCCCGTTGACGTTTTTATTTTTTTAATCAATGAATTAAAGTGTAGTGTGGGGGGAGAGATAAATGTGGCTGTTTCTTCCGAGTAAAAATTCTAATTTTGATCGAAAAAAACTCATAATAATGATCATCATCATCATTTGTGTTGTATTATGGTTTTAATAGTAAGTTTTTTTGTTTTGTTTTGTTTGAAACAAAATATAATATAGTCGTAATTATATTCATTCTATATTCCAATTTTACAGTGTTACAAAAAAAAGGTAAAAAGAAAAAAATTCGTTTTTTTGGGTACCTGTACACAACACATATTCAATTCAAATATCTACCAGTCTCTCTATGCTGGTTGGTTGGTTGGTTGGACATAGTTATTGATTCTGCAGGTAAATAAGGTTAACGAAGAAGAAGAAAAAAATTGATAGATAGGTAGAGTGAGAGAGAGGGAAAAATACTGAAAAATCGTTATTATTACAATATGCCGGCAAACCANGGTCAACCAAATTCACAAGATTCTTCTTTTTTTGGTTTGGTTTGAACATGAAAAATTTTTCATGGTCGGAAATCAATTCAAATGAATTATAGAATTTGTCTATATTAACAACAATAGATACGATTTCAGTTGAAATAGTTTCGAATGTTTTTTACTTTCGAATATTCTTGTGGCAGGTCGTCTCTTGCAGAATAAATTGAATTTTGTTATCAAAAAAAAAATTGAGAAAATGAAAAAAGATTGTCACGGCTACCGAATTGGTTTGTAACAAATTTTTGTTTTGTTTCGCTCTACAAACATTATCATTTCAATTTGAAATTGACTTTTCCGCAAAAATAAAATTAAAAAAAAAATCCAAAAGTATCTTTCTATAATGACATAGTTTTTTTTCCAGTTGACGTTTTTATTTTTTTAATCAATGAATTAAAGTGTAGTGTGTGAGGGGGGATAAATGTGGCTGTTTCTTCCGAGTAAAAATTCTAATTTTGATCGAAAAAAAACTCATAATAATGATCATCATCATCATTTGTGTTGTATTATGGTTTTGATAGTAAGTTTTTTTTTGTTTTTGTTTTGTTTGAAACAAAATGTAATATAGTCGTAATATATTCATTCTATATTCCAATTTTACAGTGTTAAAAAAAAGGTAAAAAGAAAAAAATATTCGTTTTTTGGGTACCTGTACACAACACATATTCAATTCAAATATCTACCAGTCTCTCTATGCTGGTTGGTTGGT